CCAATCAGAACCATAAAATATTGATTCCACCAATATGATTGTCCCAAACGAACCCACAGGGAAAGCACGATGGTTCGCGCGCTCTTGGCGCCAAAACTATGACCCTGGGCACCTCCTACTGTTTACCAGTCTCCTCACTCTTCAATTTCCATCCTGCTATTCCTCTACCTACCTCCAATCACCTCTCAGTCGTCGCTAAAACATGAAAAACGCCGATATTGTACCCGTGCTGTTTAAGAACACAACTATCACTGATCGCACTTGCTGTATATGCGATTTAGTCGTCAAGCAACCCAAACAAGCTGGCTACAAGAACCTCATCTCGCACCTTCAGGCCCACCACAGTGGGTATGAAGATGTGGCGGCTGAGTGTATTAGAAAAGCATGTGCTCCTATGAGCAGCATGTTCGTTCATAAGGACACTGCTGATACGTACGGCTGGGCCAAGCTCGTTGCGCTCAAGAACTTTTCGTTTACGCATATCGACGACCCTGTGACCGTACTGCCGTACGCTACAAACCACTGGATCGCAAGACCCTACTGAAACGAATGACTTCGCTTGTTGGCGTGGTGAACGTCAAGATAATGCACGAGTTATCAGGTGAAAAGTTTGCTCTTGTCTTGGACGGCTTCACGGATGCTGCTGAGCACGCTATTGCCATTTTCGCTGCCACGAAAAATGGCATACGATTCCTGGCATTCTCTCGTTTCCTAGATGAGGTGTCGATGACTGCAGCTGAGCACATGGGATTCTTAGACATGGTTCTCGATCACTACAAGCTAGACATCGCTAATATGGTCGCCATCGTAGCTGATAACATGGAAACCAACAAAGCGATTTCCCGTCGAATTTCGGTTCCATCGAATGGATGTGCGGCCCACCGCTTCAATCTTGCTGCTCGCAAATGGTTAGAGCCGCTTATGCATTTTATTAAAAAGGTTAGTGCTTTAATGGAGAAGCTGAATGCTGTCAAGAGGATAGCTAAGCTGAAACTACATGGATGTTATTAAAAGCTATTTCACTGCACGAGCTTCGATGGAGCAGCTGCTACCGCGTGTTGAAACGCTTTAAGGACCTGCAGCCGTACATGCACCTGTTCATGGATGACTGTACGGTCGAAGACGACGAGCGTGACGGTGACGACTCCTCTACCAACCCAAATGCCGAAAACCTTCGGCGTATTCCACTTGTTGACCTCATACCCTCATTAAGCGAGCAGCAAAAAATCTTCACACTACTCAACGAAATGAATGCTTTTGACGTGATAACATGCCGGCTTCAACGTAAGGATATGACAGTTACTACCGTGCACGACATCTTCGATGTTGTTTTGGATGACTATGGTGATATCGATTACTAATTGGCCGCAGGTGGAGAAGTGGTTGAGTGTTCAGCCTTTGAAGCAGGGTTGACCAAGATTCAATGTGGAGCCGAAAAAACGCTGCTCGTACCAGAGAGGCATGCAGTCGCTCGTTTACTGCGCTGACCGGTCGAGCAATCTTACCAACGGCGATATTCTGTACCAGCGTCGCGCTCGAAGCGAAAGAGAACTGCTTAGAAGCTTGACCAAGCAATCCCTAAGAAGGCACGAAATCGCGGGACCAGAGAGTCCAAGTACATTGAAGCTAAGTGGATTCCGGGGACATCCGTGGTGGCAGAGCAATTTTTCTCGACTGTCAAATGCTCCTTAGGGTGCCTACGGAAAAGTATGAGTGCGACGACTTTGGAAACGGTAATGTTTCTAAAGCTAAACTGGGACTTGGTTACACTCGGATCCGTATCAGCTGCAATTGAAAACGCCAAGAACACAGAGTGGAGCAACCAGGTAGATGGCAGTGACGTAATGTAATGGATGCAGCAATCTATTGACAATCATCCCACTTGAGATTGTAAATATTGCAATAATTGATTGTGATGCAGTGGGGAGAACAATAATTAAACACTCTATTAATTCCACAGCTCTGATTCTAATAGATTATGTTCGTAAGTTATCAATTCAAATAGCGATAGCACACTCGACTGGAGATGCTCTGAGGAATGAAAATTGAGGTTTCTTGGGACCATAGAAATGTGTCGAACAAAATTGTTCTAGTTCTACTGTATCCAAGAATTGGTACAGAAATATTTTCAGCTGGCATCAGAAAATAGTACTATTGTTATGTTAACACTACTGAAAATGGTAGTACCTAACAGTTGAACTTTAGTCTCCGATAGTACTGTTATCTAATATCTCGAGCTGGTGCTGACCGTGGCTTTAGACCACCAGCAGGGGTACCAGGCCATGGGTACCAGGCCATCATCTTTGATGATTGTTGTTCAAGCCGTTTGCGAAACTGCGGTGAAAATTCACGTTGTCATCGTCGGAGCGCTTGGGTTGTGTCGTGACCGACTCATATCATTTATGGCTCTGCGTATCTCCTCTCGATTGCTCAGTAAGCCAACCGTAGAGCTGAGTCCATTTTGCGCTGTCACTACTACAGCAGAAATGATCAGTCTGACACGCACTATCATTGACTCTGCGCATCGTGAAACTCACCGCCGTCTCAGCGTGCGACCATCACCGCAATGCTTCTAAAACAGCAAACACCACGACTCTATGAGTCTGACGCAAAAAAGAGAATGGCTACAT